AATGAACATGAGGTTAAGAGGGGATCTCTTTGCATAGAATTTTCTTCTATTTCCAATATTTCCTGAGTGATTCTATACCCTATATAATAAAAGACTAATATGCAAATAGATTGAACTGCGGAACAACCACACAACCGAACAACCAGTCGCTATGACGTGCACTGACCACAAGGGGGCACACAGGGAGCATGGTGGGCGTCGGCTGTGGCTGGATGGTGGAGCAGGTGAGTGGGGGTGCCAGAACAAGGCGGGGTACTGACCACTGTCATCGGGGCAAGCCTCTGGTGGTTACTAAAAATTCTTTGCTCCTGTGCACCACCCAGCGCTCCCACCCAGCGCTCACACCTGCTGCCGGCACCGGCCCCACTTGCACTCACTGCCTGCACTCGGTGCAGGCCCCGATCGCTTGGTGCCTTCAGCAGGTGCAAGTGGCGGGTACCGGCCCTGATCGCCCCTGAGGGCTTCTCCACCTCCCCCTGCTCCTGAGGGGCAATTGGGGCAGCAGCTGCTGCTCGCATCCACTGACGCGCCAGCCCCACTTGCTCCACGCCATCAGCCAGTGTGAGCGGGGCCAGCACCGTCAGCATGTGGGAGCCGTGACGGCGGGAGCAGGGCTGCCGCCAGACAGGGGACGGGTGGCCATGGTGGAAGGGGCTGGGCAGGGGCGTGGAGGATGGGCTGAGACCCGTCCTAGTGCCCACTGCAGCCTCACGGCCCACAGTTCCTTTCAAGGTGCACAAATTCGTGCACTGGGTCCCTAGTATACTTATAATCATGAAAATGTTATTGAAAAAGTATATTTAGTGGATATAATTTTGAAGGCAATTTTACGTAATAGTTCATTCATACAACCATAATGAAATGTCCCATCCACTTGCTATATTTTCAAGTACACACAACTGTTCAGCCCTGTTCTTAGAATTTGAACCCAAGTGCTCTTGCTCCAAAGACAGCGCTTTTTAAGATATGAACTAAAGCACAGTGAGAATTTCAAAGCAGAGTAGAATTAATATAATAAAAATTTAAAATACACCATACCAAACATAACAAGCTGCCTTTTAGATTAAAAGATGAGAGACACACACATTTGATAAATTGCCTACTGTATAAATCTAGGCATACAATGACAGGTGAAACTGGAACTGGAGAAAAACAGAGAAAGATACAAATTCGAGTTGAGAATAAAAATGAATAAATTAGTTACTGAATAGATAGTGTGTACGTGGAGGTAGAAAAAACAAAGTCTTAAAAAATTAATCACAAACCTTTCCTAAAAGCCAATTTAAGGGTGATGACTACTGATGGGGAAAAGCAAAAAATTGTTTTCACTATGTACATTATCATTACTGTAAACAATACTTCTACTGACAGCTATTATTTTTGAGTAATTGCTATTGGTCAAGCCCTATTTTAAATGTGTTACATGCATTATCTCACTTAATATTCAAATAAATGCGCAAAAAAAACACACTGAGGTAAATGCTATTATAATCCCCTACTGACTTACCAACATTCACTTATCTGCATAATGATACATAAATATTTACACATGTAGGTTTTTGGAATGGCTAATGAAGAAGAGATTAGAAGTAGAAATGCAGAGAGTTTTATTTTCAATAAAATAAATTGCCATAATTTGCAGGATTCATTGGAAAGCTAGAAGCAGGAATATGAGAAAGGAAGGACACAAAAAAAGGAGGGTTAGAAAAAAGTAAGAGAAAAATTATGACATCAGATCATAGTGGTATCAAGAAGTAAAAATTCAAGGAGATGAACAATATGGAAAATGGCAGACCAGAAGGAAAGAGAAATGAACAATATACCAATATAAGAATACAAACATTTGACATGAAGAAGGAAGCTTATGGATGCCTTAGAGAGGATGGGTTCTGTGATATGATGCAGACCATGGCCAATTTACATGTAGAAATACAGAGGAATGGGAAATGGAAATGGATAGATATTGTTTATTTTTAAAAGCAATTACATGGCATGTTTTGTCTAGAGAAATATGAATTTTCTATCTCTTATCTTGGTCTCTAGTTGGCCTCCAGGGGCACAAGATATGAGAGAATATATAGAATCGCCTATACGAAGTCATAACCCCTACTTGAAAATTAAATCATTCTGTGGAAGGACATAGAAACATTGATGCCATCCATTATTCCTCATGGAAAGAATAAAGAAGCCAAAAGTAGTTCCCAATACATAGCCTTCTATCAACTAATAAATGATCCCCAAGTCATTGCTGCATCCATCTAAACAGCTCTTTGTGATGACAGTTCCTCAATAAGAATCTTTGAGCCCTACTAGGTTTGGCTCAGTGTATAGAGCATTGACCCACAGACTGAAGGGTCCCTGATTCGATTCTGGTCAAGGGCACATGCCTAGGTTGTGGGCTCGATCCCCAGAAAGGGGCATGCATGAGGCAGCCAATCAATGATTCTCTCTCATCATTGATGTTGCTATCTCTCTCTCCCTCTCCCTTCCTCTCTGAAATCCTATATAATAAAAGGCTAATATGCAAATCAACCAAATAGCAGAACGACCTGTTGCTATGATACTCACTGACCACCAGGGGGCAGACGTTCAACACAGGAGCTGCCCCCTGGCGGTCAGTGCGCTCCCCAGGGGGAATGCCGTTCAGCCAGAAGCCAGGCTCATGGCTGGTGAGCGCAGCAGCAGTGGCAGGAGTCTCTCCCACCTCTGCAGCAGGTAGACATCTGCTGAGGGGTCCTGGACTGCGAGAGAGCACAGGTGGGGCTGAGGGACACCCCCCCGCCCCCGGAGTGCACAAATTTCATGCACCAGGCATCTAGAATATATATATATATAGTATAGATATATATATATATATATAGAGAGAGAGAGAGAGAGAGAGAGAGAGAGAGAGAGAGAGAGAGAAAGAGAGAGAATCTTTGAGCCTACTTAGAACTGGATTCAATTCAATGGTAATAGTTTTTTCCTGCAAAATACTTCCTGTCTAATTAGAAGACAAGCCTGACTACAATAAGGATTAAATAACAAAAAACCAGTAAGACTTTCTGAATAACTGAATAACATTGGCCTATATTATTACTAATATCAATATTGCCCAAATTTTGTTATCAGGACCAAAAGCTGTAGAAAATTGAACTAGTCTATTTGAGAGAAAAACACTATACAGTATAATTCACAGTACATTATTAGAATATTAGCATTGAAATAATGGATTTTTGGAAGATTTACCCAAATTACTGTGTCCTTTAAATCTTAGTTTTCTCACCTAAGAATATGGAAATGTTATTATCAGAATTAAATAATTCCAGGCAATAGGAAAAATAAATGCACATACATCTATAAAAGAAAGTCCACGTAGCACAAATAGATATGATATGAAATAGCAGCACAAATTTAAGTATCAGATCCACACGTAAAATTTATGCAAAGAAACATGTCAAAACTACTCCAAAGGTTCTGAGAGTCCCTTAGCTCTATATCCTGCAAAGTGGGTGGATTTTTCCCCCCAAATGCTGCTAGCTATATTACCACCAAATAAATTTACTACCAAACAACCAAGGTACAGGCACAAGCAAGCCATTAAATTCCAGTGAGTTTAATAAAATATCCCAGATACATGTATTTACTACTTGATATGTGTGTTACATTTCAAACTAGTAAAAGTCGGAGGGACACCATAAAGCTGAAAAAATGCAGGGAAATAGATGAATATCAAATAGCACTCTAAGAATGTATTGAAAATAATATTTGGAATGACTGATCTTCATAGGCATTACAGAAACATTATTTCATGCAGGGTTTCCGCAGTCTGAGGGCATCTTCTCTGGCTTTTTCCCCAATGGAGAATTTGATTCTCTTTCCCCCCTCCCACTCCATGCGTCCAGGTTGCTTCAGAAGGCCAAGGTAGCCTGCTCAGCACCAGGCACAGGGCTGGGTGTGCAGGAGCTATATATAGCTCCACCTTGGAGATGCGCACACACCAGCACGGGTACGAATGCCCATGCTGGGTTTGGCATGAATAAAGGAGAAAGGGGTGCGGCTGTCCACACTCTCCCTCTCTCCCATCAGCCCGATTTTTCAATAATTTTCAAAGCAGGGTGTCATCGGGCCCCAAAGTGATGCTGCAGCGTCTCGTTTCTCTGCAGTTCTTCTACCCACTGCTTCCAGCCATCTGACTCCGGCAGAAACCGGCGCGGAGCCAACACCTACTTCCCAGATGCGGTCACCCAGGGAGGCCGCCGCGAGCCCATCCGGACACAATTACTTGAGTGTCCGGGAATCCCGGTGGATAAACCCACCTTTTAGAAACTATGCGAGAAGGTGGTTCCCGGGGGACCACGCCAGGCTCGGAGAAGCAACGCCTTCCTGCCCCTCCCCTGCTCAGTCTGCCGCAGAGATGGGAGAGGGGCCCGTGCGCGCTCACTAGAGGCGTAATTCATGGAACCAACCCCTCCGGGGGCGGGGTTGCCCCCCACCCCGATCTCGAAGGGAGCCAGCTTTTAGCAGAGGGACCTGGGAGCAAGCAAGTCCCTTCCTCCCCCCAGCGCAACCATGGCCAGTGCTTTCTGGGATGTGCTAGAGACTGGACGCCGCCAGGTAGGAGGGGGAGGGAGAAGGCGAGGTGAGCCGGGCATGGGAAGGAAGAGCCGCTCTCCCCAGTCATGGAGACGCACGGGTTCTCCGCAGACCCTCCCCAGCCCGGCAGACATGGCACCCCTCGGGCGCAGCAGCACCGGCAGTGGGAGAGGAAGCCTGAAAGTTGAGATACAGATGGGGGTTCGGTCCCCTCTCCTCGGGCACTGCCGCCCTGCCCACGCACCTCCTTCCCAGCACCGGACCCCCTGCGCCCCAGTCCTCCACGACCAGAGCTGCGGCGACCTCAGGAGATTTGGGGGTGTCGAGGGCGGGGCAGGACTGGGGGAAGGGGAGGGAGGCGACAGGAGCGTGAACATACGCGTTCTTTCCCCCATCGGCGAAGAAGGACAAGCCCTGCCTCCTACCTGTCCCCGGCTCCGGCTCGCCCCGGCGCCGCACCGCTGGACCATCACCTACAGGTTTCCCTCTCCCGCTGCCAACACCTGGGAGCGCATGTCCCCGGCCTGCGCCCCTCCGCGCCTCGGTGGTGCCCACCCGAGCTACTTGACAGCAGAAGCCCAGCCTTTTAAAGTGGTGATTGGCGCCGCGGGGAAAGTGGGGCGGGCGCCGAGGAGAAATCCTCGTCTCTGATTGGACAGGCAGGATGTCACTCTCAGCTCCGGACTCTCAGCTGTGGCTGCTAAGGGTCTCTGCAGTGCTTATGGCCAAAACCTGCTGCTTCGGGATCAAGGACCCCCTAAGAGGAGGGAAACTGGTTTAATGACTTGTCATTTGAAACCCCGAGAGGGAAGGAGAGGCCAGGCATAAGCAGACACCCAACACTTCCAGAGCTTCCCTGAAGGGACCATCTGCTCTGAGATTTGACAGGCAAAAATATGAGGAGCAATGCCTCCATAAAGAAGCAAGAACCTCGGTGAAGATGGGAGAAAAATAGAAAAATACATACACTTATGTAAAAAAAATCACAAGACAAAAATTGGGGGGAGGAGGGAGCGTGAGGGTTTTGTTTATTTGTTTCAAGTTTCCATTTTTGCCTACATACAACGTGGCAGGTGTGTGTGTGTGTGTGTGTGTGTGTGTGTGTGTGTGTGTGTAGAGAGAAAAGGCTGAACTGCTTATCTATAGTGCAGAGAGACTCCCAATATCCTCTGCTGGGAACAGTGTTTCAAATGAGGAAGCCTGTAGAATAACCTCTAAAGAAAGAGTAAAGGCAGGACATTAAGGCCAAGCTGCATAAGGGACTTGCCTTGGACAGTTCATTTGGTAGCAAAAGTCTTGAAATACCAGCAGACTGACTGGTAATCAGTCTGTTCCCTTTCTACTGCTATTAGCCATCATTCCTTTTGTGCTTAAACCCTGAGGCTGCGGGGTCAAGTCAACCCAAACCTAGGTGATCCCTAGCCTGCCTTGTAGGCTCAGGGCACAAGGGCAAAACAAGTTTGTACCCATTTTCCAACTTTGCCATTGGCCCAGGTGAAATCAGGAAGCAGTGGAATTCAAGGAACTTCTTAAACAGGGAACAATGATTTTAAAAATCACAAGTAAAGTTATGGATAAGGAAGTGTCTAATTTTAGTGCCACGTAAAGAAACAATCTCCCTCATTGGATGCATCCTGTCAGCAAAATAGCCAAATTCTTCACCACCTAAATTAAGTAGCTAACTTAACTAACTCTGAGCATAACACACAACTTCCATCCTCAAAGAGCTCATGATAAACATGAGTCACTAGGCAGCTAGCTATTAGAGAAGATGACATTGTTATTAAATGCTAAATCACTGTAGGCTCTTAGCTTAGTACTTATGGTTGTTATTACTATTAGACTAAACTCTTCATAAAAATGCTATCTTTATAAAACTGGAGAAAACAAATTAATGTTTTGGGGAGTGAGAAAAGAACCCTAGAGATAATTTACAGTGGACAATAAATATAGTTCTTATGCCAGAAATCCTCTAAACACTGAGTGAGAATAACTTTAAAAAATGTAATGATAAGTTTTAAACCCCATCAGTTATGCTTCTACATAATATACTATTAGTCTTGCTCCTCCACTCCAGCCACCCACACCAATTATTCCATTGAATTGTACAAATCATTCATTACTTAGTGCATTTACTGCACACTTATTCTATGCCACACCCTGTGTTAGGTTCTAGGGCACTGAACAAGAATTATACATTGAACTTGTTAAGGAGGGACTTAGGAAGCAATTAAGATAGCAAAGTATTATAGCAAGGAATGTGTATTTTCAACACTGACATTTTTGTTTATTTCTAAGCATTTGAGTCCCGATAACTCCAACAGACTCTCCTCTAGATTTAAGCAGTGAAGAAAAGGCATAGTAGCAAGGAAATAAAATGAGTATCCAGGTCAGCACTAGAGTGGAAATTGGAAGTGAAAAGAATGTTAAAGAAATCTCTGCTATCCTAAATCTTTCATTCCTCAATTCATCCATTCATCCATTCTTTTAACAAATATTACTATTGTCAACATAGAGATGAATGCAATAGGCAAATTCTTATGAAGATTATTTTTTTTTTGTTCTTCAAACAATCTAACTTTGTGTATTTACTGATATGATTACACACAACTTGGGAATAATCATATTAGGAGAGTTGCTATCTGGTCACCAGTCACTACATATATTTTCAGATAAAACAGAACATCTCTGGGTTATTAGTTATTATCCTATAGAGGATACATGCATATCTCTTCTTGTTACATATATCTTTATGCATATGAATATATCAAAAATATCTGCTGCAGAGCATTTTACATTTGCCAAACAACTTTTGTATACAATCCTCCACTTTGTTCTTTTTTTTCTTTTTTTCTTTTATTGATTTTTTACAGAGAGGAAGGGAGAGGGGTAGAGAGTTAGAAACATCGATGAGAGAGAAACATTGATCAGTTGCCTCCTACATACCCCTTACTGGGAATGTGCCCACAACCAAGGTACATGCCCTTGACCAGAATTGAACATGGGACCCTTCAGTCCACAGGCTGATGCTCTATCCACTGAGCCAAACTGGTTAGGGCTCCTCTTTATTCTTAAGTAAGTAGGAGATTCATTATTAGCCCATTGCACAATTGAGGAAATTGAAATAGCAAATGAAATGTAAAGGTAATCCTATATAATAAAAGGTTAATATGCAAATGGACCGAAGAGCAGAACAACCTGTCACTATGATGCGCACTGACCACCAGGAGTCAGACACTCAATGTAGGAGCTGCCCCCGGTGGTCAGTGTGCTCCCACAGGGGGAGCGCCACTCAGCCAGAAGCCAAGCTCATGACTGGCGAGCACAGTAGCAGTGGCAGGAGCCTCTCCTGCCTCCACAGCAGTGGTAAGGATGTCCAACTGATGGCTCCCCCAAAGGCAAGAGGGCACAGGGCTGAGGGCTCCCCCTCCCCCTCCCCAAGTGCATGAATTTTGTGCACCAGGCCTCTAGTAAAAAATAATTCTGTATATAATGCTTGGTATATAGAAGACATCCAGTTCATTCTTATTGATTAATATATGGCTTATAAAATGTCAGAATTTGAAGAATTTTAGAAACCATGTGTTCTACCCATTATACTATGAAACAGAGAATCATATATTATAATTTGCTCAACATCTTGAACCTAGTTAAGGTCAAAGCTGAAACACAGGTCATAGGGCTATTCATTCATTGTTTTTTTCCACCACAATGAACAATAACTTTTTCTGGTATCTCCTTTAGAAGAGTTCTTGCTATCTTTCCTCCTTGAACCACTCAGCTTTTGAAGTTTTCAGGACTTACAATGGTGTACTCATCCTCCAGCATCTATGAAAACATAGGAAAGCATGCCACCTTAACTAGAGATTAAGCAGAGCATACAAAGTAGCCAAGGCTCAATTCACTTGTACGTTTGGGGTCTGCCTCCTGAGATTGGGGTCAGAGTGATCAGGGCTGGTGTGTCAAGGTATAAAGAAAGCTGATGGAAATGGGTGGTGAGGTAGGCAGATCACCTCAGGCACATATTGTCTCTCAAGTGAAGAGGAAATGAACTGCAGAAACATTATCTGAGTCCCCTTATCTGACAGCCTTTATAAAACCTATCTTGAATTCTTCCAAAGAAACAATAGGAAAAGTTTGCCTTGTTCCCTGGTTGGCACTGATTCCCTAATCACTCAACAAGTTCCATAGCACAGTATATCGGGCATTATATTGCTAAGCTTCCCTTAGCTTTTTTTTTTAAAATATATATTTTATTGATTTTTTACGGAGAGGAAGGGAGAGAGATAGAGAGTCAGAAACATCGATGAGAGAGAAACATCGATCAGCCGCCTCCCGCACATCTCCTACTGGAGATATGCCCGCAACCCAGGTACATGCCCTTGACTGGAATCGAACCTGGGACCTTTCAGTCCGCAGGCCAACGCTCTATCCACTGAGCCAAACCGGTTTCGGCCCCTTAGCTTTATTATTAAATTTTTCTGCCACCCCCTCCTTCTTCCAGCATGCATTGGCTCTCATTCTTGAAACATTGCAATTTCCTCCAACCAGTGATTAAATCTCAGTGAGAGGAGAGGAAATGCAGCAACAGCACAGCTTTCCACAGCATGTATTTATTTTCTTTCTCCTCTGCCCCACCCACAATTTTCTCACTTCAAAGCTCCCCAGGAGAACAGTTGCTAACATAGCCTGATATAGTAAAGAAGGGGGAGGATTAGGAAAAAGGGTGTTTTCCCATCAAAATTTCAAGCTACACTCAACACAGCAGAGAGACAAAGGAGGCGCTGCCCACTAGTTTGAGGAGAGTCATGTTAACCCTGACTGCAGCATCTCAGAGAAGATCACATCAGCCCACTGACCTAGCTTTTACAAAGCCAATTGGGAACACAGGCAAAGGGATGCACACACACACACACACACACACACACACTGTCAGTACCACAAGACTGGAAGAAGAGTATTAAATTCTAGAAATATACTTACAGCAGCAGCTTGCTACTCACTCGGGGCCACTGCGACCTTCCCGGAGATTAATAAGATATGAATGCCATGCCTTTTGTTTTGTGAGTGACTGCTGTGCACCAAAAGGGAAGATTTGCAGAAAAGCCACAGGTTAATGTTGCAGGCCCATCTTCATTCAGATTCCATTGTTTCAGAATAGAGTCCATTCTTGCTCTTTGATATTGGATATGAAGTATACCAGAAGGGCATGTTAGTCCATACTTCAGAGCCAATATGCCCCCAAATTTTTCAACTCACAGAACTCATACAGAGGAGCCAATACTCAATTGTTAAAATGAAGCTTTAGCCGTGTTACTCATGAAGAGGAGGCAACCTTCATTAAGATGTAATTTTTCTTTTTTCCTAATTGCCATTGTAAGATACTAAAATTTTTATTATATTTATGTCCTTGAAATGATAATTCAGCATCTGGAGTGGACATAGGATGGGACATTAGACCTTTGTTCTACTCTAGACTAGTAACTAGCTGACAGTAGAGGAACAGGACTTTAAGCCTTAGTTTCCTGTGCTATAAAATGAGGGGCAGAGTTATACAATTCAAAACTATTTGCTAAGAATATGGTGTCAGCATCTTTATACAA